TATTTCTTTTGGAGCTTATTAATAAATTTATATTTTATAGTATGAATTTTTAAAGTTTTAAAAATAGTTATTACTAATTTACAAATGACTAAATAATGTTTTTGCCATCTCTTTTTTGTTTCTTTTACACTGTTTTCTATTTGACTTTTCTATCATATAAATTGTTGTGCTTATTTCAAAATTATTGTAGAATTTCTTTTTAAATAGAAATTATGTTTTGCTTTCATTCTTTTTATTAAATTATTGCACTCATGTATTTTTTATACTTCTTTAATACAATCTTCATCATGTTATTGTTGATTTCTATTTTTTTTTCTTTTTTTTGGGTAAATCAGTGGAGGAGAAGGCCTCCCTACTCTTTTTTTCATTAATTAAAAAGAAAAAAAGTAACTTATTTATCTTAGGGTGTTGTTTCTATAAGGTTGCAATCTAACAATCCAATTAAGGCGCACCTTAAAATTTTATCATAACATGTAATTTTGTTGTAAAAAATTCTTAGTATTATCTTAAAATCTATTTTCATACCTAATTAGAACATTTAAATTCCAAAAATGTTAAAATCAAGTAGATCTATAAATATATGAAAATCTTGAAAATAGACGGTTTAGATAATGTGTTGCAATATGCACTATTTCCGATATTCAAGAACTTTTTTTTTTCATATTCATAGATCTCGATGTCGAGATGATTGATTAAAGGGCTTTTTTAACATTAAAACAACATTTCCGATAGATGTTTGAGGCGCATCTGTGATTCTACATTTTAAGGTTGCAACCTTATATGAACTTTTCTCTTTATCTTAAATCCCTACAATAGTGCAGTTGTGCTAGGTCCTGAAATAACAAAGAAGAAATACAATCTAGCGGTCGGCAATGCTAAATAGTAGCGCCAGGTGTTGTGGCTGCTCTCTAGGTGAGAACATCAACAACCATATTTACCTCACGGAAAACAATTTTTTCCCTTTTTTATACCAAAGAAATGAGGTACACCTAAAAACCCCATTGAAGAAAGGTTGTTCCAATGCTGGAAGACTTTCAATTAATCATCTCGATCTCAAGAAATACCGTAATGAAAAAAGAATCTTGAGTCTTAAATATTGCATCTTGTAAATCTGAACCATCCGCTCTCAAGAACTTCCAGAATCATCTCGATCTCAAGAAATACCGTAATGGAAAAAGAATCTTGAGTCTTAAATATTGCATCTTGTAAATCTGAACCATCCGCTCTCAAGAACTTCCAGAACCAGAGGTAGAGGCAAATTTCAAGCCGTCATAAGAGTTCCAACGAACTACATCTCCTGATAGAGTTTGGAGGTGCACCATGGTTTAAGGTCCTCATATAATTAGCACCATTAATTATAAGTTTTGGACCTAATTCACTAGGATAGGGCAATATTGGTTGATACTCAAGTTATAAACACTTAATGAGCAGACTAACTGCATGAATGCTATTGTTACTTTTATATCTCGTCTGACCTCCTTGTCCACGTTTGTTGGTAAATTAGTTCATCTTTTGCTACGCACGGGTATTATTGTAGGGTTCTCAGGAGCTTCTTGCTTATGGAATTGGGAATCTCAAATTTCGAGATCCCACCCAAGATCGTGCATATGATTGGCTAAATACGAAGAAGATCAACACAACTATAAATCGATTGCGAAAAATAAAGCAAACACAAAAGGCACACCACAACAACACAAGATTTACATGGTTCAACCCATAAGGCTACATCCATGGCCTCGGCAACAAGAAATTCACTATCACAATGAAGATTAGAGTTTTAGATTACAAGAGACAATACCTATCTCTAACCATCGATAAAAAAAAGGCCATCACCGATCTTCCCCTCTAAACCCGCTCTCTCGACTGAACAACACCGTCGATCCACATCCTCTTTCCCATCGCAATACCGATATCGGAAAGATAACTTCGTGAGAAATATAGAGATTTTCTCTCTCTAAAAGTGAAAGTTAACCAACCCAAAACTTATGGGAATACCGCATCTCTCTCAGAGGCCGTGTCTTTCTCTTGAAGACCCATCTCTATATTGGAGATCCATTCCCATAATCTCCAAAGGGGTAACCCTCAAAAAGATGGGTATTATGTCCTCCTTCACTATCTTATAAAGATATCACTTTCTTGCTTCTCAATAAAGTCAATTTTTAATTTTCCATAATACCTTAATCTTTAAAAAAAAATATAATTATGGTGATTTAGCTATCATCAAACCCAACAATTATTTCTAACCCACTGCATTTTTTGCCAAAAATATAACAAGTACCCCCGTCGACAGCCATTTTTTTTCTTTGCAATTGCTCTTATCCGCCAATATTTACTCTCATTGGAGTATACTATCTATTTAGTCCGGCAAGCAAAATACATGTCAAAGATACTTTTTAGATCTCGAATTTTGGGTATATAATCTCTGTAAGCCATATAATAATCTTAGCAAAATAATTTCTTACGTACTTGAAAAAAAAAATATTGCCTCAAGATTGAGTAGATACTGTCCAATTTTTGGATGGCAATGTCTAATTGTCACAAAACTCAAAATTCAAATTTTTCTCATAAAATAATCTAGTAATTATTATATGGTTCCCAAGATTTTAGAAAAAAAAAATCAATGTAGCTAGCTGTTTTGGCCGAGGCAGTATAGGCACAATGTGCTCTCTAAGCACATTGTATGCACTTTATAAAAGAATATTTGAAAACATGTGTGAAAACCTTCCTATCCAATGTTGTCATCGCCGGACAGACAGGCAGTTGTGAAAAAAAAAAAAGGGGGGCCGCCGAGCGAAGGGTTGCTCGTTGTAATTTGACCAAAAAAAGGGTCTCATTTGGTAATAAAGGGGTGGAAATAATGTCTATATGTAATTTTGTCTATTTTTATTTTTTTTCCCTAAACTGTTTTACGTGAATCTGCTCGTAGATTATTCCCATGTGCTAGGGTGGACAAATTATTACCAATAGTTCATTGCATGCCGTATCTCTAGTTTTGAGTTCATGTCTACAAACTATTACCAAGTTACAATCAAGACCGGGCAGATGTCACTGGAGCCAATTGGGATCAGGAATGGGCCAGAGCTTAACCACGTTCAGGTAGGTATGATACCCACCCAGTCCCCTGCCTGCACGTGTTTTTTATTTTTTAAACTTATCTAATTTTCTTTTAGGTCCCCCACCCAACCCACCCACATAAATCCCTATTGTAGTTTTTATATTTATTTATTTTTCAATATTTTTTTGAATCACCCATTCAAACCCATCCAGATCGAAAATTTGGCAATCCGACACAATTATGTGGAGTGGAAAATCCACCTCATAGATCCAGGTTACGAGGAAAGGTCGTGATGGTAGCATCCCTACACCCAGTTATCACATCATGGTATCCATGCCTACCGCTGACAACCCCAATTATAACACCTTTAAAATGTAACTTCTCGATCTATTGAAAAAATAGGTAAGAGACTGCCTCGCCCACTACAAAAAAAAAAAAACAAGAGAGATATCCCGTTTCTGCAATACTTACATGTAAGCATTTTGGGGCGCTACAAAGTTGAACGTTTTGCTAGTGGTTCCTTATTTAGGTCATAATTTGAGGTAAGGAACAGCTAAGGGTCGCATTTTTACTTGGAGACATTAACCATAGGGTACATGCTTCAGCATGAGAGATTTTCTGCGGCATTTGAGAATGAAATGAATGGAAAAATTGTAAATGATCAATGTAGCAGAGAAATAGTAAGGGAGGCAACAGACCCAGCCTGGGCTGGCCTACTCTGGGCATGGCCATGTCCCCCTACGAAGAAATATGAAAAGAAAAAGCAAGAAAAAAAGGGGGCAGGCCCGGCTGATACTGGCCCAATCCCAGCCTTTGGGCCACGGTTTGCGGCTCATGCCTACCTTTTTTAGGGCCTGTTTAAGCTAGCCCTTAAAAATATTTTCGCCTTAAAACATGGTGAATGCATGAGGAGGAACATAGGGCAGCTACCAAACATCTTAAAACATACTTTTGTTGCCTCCATTACGGTTTCACCTTGGATTCTAACGCGGTGGATATCACACCGTGGTAAACTCGGTTCCAAGTGTGGGCCAAGCTTTTAGGGTGGGTTTCTTTCATGTGAAAACACTTTCCAAGGGTCTTACGAAAGTTTTCTCACCGAGAGAAGTTTCTTGTGAGTTTGGAAAAGTGCTTTAATACCCAAATAAATAGGGATGGGGTTTATATAATGTGCCCTCCTTAAACTGTAGAAGGAGGACGCACATCTAAATTTTTTTTGGAGATGTAATTTCCTTGTCAAAAAGTTAATTATAACTTGATAATCTATTTGTATTTCTAGTAATAAAATTTAACATTCTAATAATAATATAGATCTAGTGGATCTATAAATAATTGGAAAATCTTGAAAATTGACAGTCAAGAGAACTTGTTAGAGGATACACTATATTTGGCACTTGAAATTCTTTTTTTCTTCATATCCATAAATCTTAAGATCAACATGTTTAATCTATAGTTTTTACGGTATCGGAATACTCTCTTCAGGAGGATTTTTGAGGTGCCCCTTACTTCAATATTTGAAGACTTATATTAACTTTTCTACTAAATAGAAAGTCGCTTTCTCAAAAATCAACAAAAAAGCTAACAAAGCACTTCCCCACCAACTATAATTATTATAGGCTTATAGCTTTCCCCAAAACAAATATGAAAAGGCAATAGTTTAGCTCTTTCCCAACAAATATAAAACAACTTTCTCATCCCACTAAACAAACGAACCCTGAACTTTATCCTTTTGCACGTGATCCTGTTTCAGGAACCATGAGTTATTGGAAACAAGGTAAGGTATGCAAATGTAATGTACCCCAAAACATGTCTCTGTTCTCTTAACAGGAAGCAAAACACTAAGCGATGGTCATGAAGAGGAACCCATTTCCCGACCTTTCTTTAATTACTAAACAAATTGTTACATTACAGTCTACAACTAAAGTGAAATAGCTCAGGTAAAGACCTACCAAAAATCTCCACAGCTACAAGAACCCTCTCGAAACCGATGGAATCGGCTCCTGTCGCGCACGATTAACTCCCGACTATACACCATCGACACCATCTTCAGCATCGAGTGGCAGTCACCACATATCCGAAGGTTCTTTGAGATTCGAATAGGTTCAGAAGAATTCATGCTGATGAGCCCAAAAGCAACAGCCAACTTCTCACTGTGATGCAACAACACTTCCTTCTTCATGTCCCCATCCAAATCTAGAAAAACCTCAGAGATATCCATCACATAGCCCATCTCCTTTACCTTTCTTTCGATCTCCTCGACCATTTTGTGTATGTCATTGGAAAGAGGATGGCGTTTATCTCCCGCAATGAATTCGTAAACTTGGCCGCCCACCTCAATGAGGCTAGAACCAGGTGTCTTTGTCATTCCTCTCGCTTTCATCCGTTTCCTAACCCTCACAACATCATCCCATCGATTCTCAGAGGCATAGATGTTAGAGAGAAGCACATAGGTCGCCTCATTATCAGGCTCTAGTGCGAGAAGAGGACTTGCTACACTCTCTGCAAGCTCAACATGCCCTGGACTCCTACTACACGCACTCAGTATAGAACCGAGTAGAGCAGCATCAGGCTCAAGTGGCATGCTTTCCATCAATTTCAAGGCCTCATCAACCAACCCAGCTCGACTGAAGAGGTCGACCATGCATCCAAAGTGCTCAACCCTTGGTTCAATCCCAAAGTCTCGAGTCATACAGGCGAAGAGCCTGCGGCCCTCATCAACTAATCCTGTATGACTACATGCAGAGAGCACGGTAACGAAGGTGACCGCATCAGGTTTTATGTCAGTTGTCTCCAACATTTGATAAAAGAATCCCAAAGATGATTCACCACGGTCACACATTGCGAGACCCCACATCATGGCAGTCCAGGTTAAAACATTCTTCTCATGCATTATACCGAAGACCTCTTCTGCGCGCTCTATACTACCGCACTTGGCGTACATGTCAATGAGGGCCGTGCCCACGATGGCATCGAGCTTTATCCCCTTCTTTGCTATGTAATCATGGAGCCACCGGCCGAGGCCAAGTGCGCCTGTGTCGGCACAAGCACAAAGGAGGCTAGCCACAGTGACCTCATCAGGCTCAGCGGCCACTTGCAACATCTCATCACATGCCTCGAATGCCCTTTTAGGTAGGTTCCCCTTAACATATCCGGAAATCATGCTATTCCAAGAGGCAACAGTTCGGTGAGTTATTCTATCAAACACTCTCTGAGCGGCTTCTAGGTCGCTGCAAACCGAGTAGAGGCTCACCAAAGCGGTTTGTATGTGCATATCAGCTAAAAACCCTAATTTTACAACATGCGCATGTAGAGATTGGCCGAGTTTCAGTTCCTCGACGTGGGCGCAAGCCTTTAAAACAAACGGAAATGTGTGTGTGTTAGGTGGGTGGGCGATCTCGATCATGTAGACAAAGAAGAGGAGAGCTTGTTTAGGGGCCCCAGTTTTAGTGTAGCCTCGAATCATGGTGTTGAAAGTGAAGGTGTCCGGGCTTTCGATGGCAGGGAGGAGGCGCTGGGCATACGCCATGGAGCCACTGGGGGAGAGAGCACAGAATTGGATGAGCTTGCTGGCTGGGTAGGTGGATTGGGCTTGGCCGGTCTTGAGCAAGTGGGCATGGAGCTGTTGGAGGTCCCTCATGGTGGTGCACAGGTTTGGGAGGTTGGCTGGCGAGGGTGGCGCCACTACCACGGGACGTGATAATGTGGAGGTGGCCATGGACAGCAGTTAATAAATAGAACTACTCTCTCCTTTCTCTCGCTGATGATAAAAAAAAAAAACTGGCCTCTCTCTCTCCTGATGGCCATTTAGATAGGAAAAAGTTAATACAAGGTTGCAACCTAAAATGTAGAACAAACCACAAAAATTCATTAGAAAAGATTGTTTTAAAGCTGGAAAAATCATCCTCCCATCCATCCAGATGTAGAAATATAAAAATAAAAACAAAAAAGATTTTCAATCCCAAAAAATAGTACATCTTGCAATATCTAGACCATCCATTTTTAATATTTTCATTTGTTTATAGATCTACTTGATTTTAACTATTTTTTAAATTTTAAATTTTATAATTAGATATGAAAATAAATTTTTAAATAATCTTAAGAAGTTTTTACACCAAAATCATATGTTATCATAAGATTTAGAGCTGCACCTTAATTGGATTGTTTAAGGTTGCAACCTTATAGAAACCACACCCTTTACATATTGATCATTTAACTAGAGCGAATAATGGATATGAAGGCTCAATGTCGAAGTATAACCATGAATGTTATATAATCAAATCCGATCATCCTCACCAACTTGCACCACCATCAATTCTTATGGAATGTAGGGCCCTCATAAAGAGGTATAAAAACCTACCACTATTTTTTTTATGATAGGATGAACAGATTATTTGTCAAAAATTTCGTGTCAAATTATTGGATCGGCAGGATATGGTCTATATTAGCCCGAATTAGTGATTTGAAAAGTATATTTCAAATAAATAATATAAAATAAATTCAAAATACAAATTTACTTGGTAGAGATTTAAAGGGATCCAAAAATATATTAGACAAACCTAAAAAAGAAAAATAATATATATAAGAGCAAGGGGTTTTGGGGTGAACTAGACCAAGACCCATACCATCTCTAAGTCCGTTTGGCCTCAAGTGATACGTATCCAAATCAGCAATCCGGTCAAAAAAATTGCCGGAGTTTAAAACTCTGGTCTCCTATAATTTAAATTCAAAAATTAGGGAAATGGGTCTCTTGGTATATGGGTCAAGGTTAGCTACAATCACTGGGAAGATAATAGCGATATCATGAAACATTTACATCTCCCTTATCTTCCTAGTGTGGGAAATATGATTCATAAAGAATTGAAAGTATACTTTCTTTAAAAAATGTGAAAAGAAAGAAATATAAGTGTCTTTGATGAAAATGTATTGGATGGGGAATTATCAAAATATAGTTACTCTTTTTGTTGGATGACAATTCATAAAGAATGTTCTGGTATTTCCAAATGCATCTCCACTTGGAGTCTAGGAAACGTCGAGTGTTTCAAAATGAAGAATTTTAAGGAGCTGGGATTATCTCGTTTTGTTCTTTCGTAGAACTTTTTTTAAGAATCCATCCAAGTCGGGCTGGAGTTCGAGGATTAATTAGAAATCACCAAGAGCAAATATTTCTATCCTTTTCAGGTCCATCTGATAATGTATCTCTAAATAAAGCCGAATAAATGTAGTGCTACAAGGTCAGAGTCTTTCTTCAAAGCAAGATCAATAAAAGATCATTTATCTTTTGTACGTGGTGGTCACAATCATTCTTGTCCCTTAAATTTTAAAATGAGCGGTTGCAAGAGTGTCACAGAATATGAAAAGTTTTAAAAATATTTTCGGATTTCGTGACTCACTCCAAGCTATCCAATTTGACATTTAAAGAGTGGGAATATTGAGACCTCCATGTACAAAAGATAAATAGTTTCGACAATCTCTTAATAAAATTTTTATAGATAGAAGCTCACAAAACATTATTAGTCGGTACTCGTGTGAGCAGAAAACCCACTGGACGCTTAGATCACATTGGATGAGGATTTTAAACCTTATTGAAAGCTTCAATATTTCTTTTGTTTATCTTTACAAAGAAGCAAATTAATTGGCTAAGCAAGGAGTTACGCATTCGGGGTTTGAAGTTAATCATGGACCATTATAATTTGATTTATTATCTATTACTCACAATGTAACTCTTTGATTATTAATAAATAAATGAAATTGTCAAAAAAAACAAGAGCTCCATTCCCACTTAAGCCAATAAAGTTGGCCTGATGACTAGGCCGGGCCAAATTTTTAGGCCTAATATCTAGGCTAGTTGGACCAAGGCTAGGGGTGTGGCTTCGCCCAACGCTAATCCTATCATTTTTTTGTCTCTCTTTTTATTATTTTTAAAAACAAAAATTTTAATATTATTAGCCCAGTTAACTGGTCATGCTACCTAGCCCAAGAGTAGAGCTGGGCTAGGGCGCCGTTGACGTCATGGCTAGAGCTAGCCCTCTAGGTCGCAAACAAGGCTTGGGCTAGCCTAGGCCAGCGCCTTTACCACCCTTAACTCCCAACCGTCCCAAGTTAATATTAGAAAAATAAAATAAAATCCTAAAATAAAAGAAATTTGTCTCTATATAACTTAAAGAGCTAAAAATTAAGGGTATGTTTGGATGCTACCCCAAACCATGATTTGGAGCCATTTTGTGGATTATTTAGTTTGTAAAAAACAATAACAAAGTAGTTCGTCATTTGGCCCCCATCAATGCCCTGAGCAAGTAAATCTTCAATGAAAAATAACAAGAGAGAGTAAATCTTCAAGGAGAAGTAACAAGACAGACAAATAGAGAGAAAAAGAATGTGAGAGATATTATATGTATTTGTTTTAAAACAATATCAAAGTTTCATAATTCACATTTACAACTTGATTTCGAAAATTAACTATCAATAATATTCTGGATATTTATTTGGGAGTACATCATACATACTTGTTCGAATAGTGTAATCATGTAAATGCACATATTATATAGAAAGATCCAAAGGAATTTATTAATGCATCTCCATGTTTTGGATCATATTATATTGAGGCCCTACGTTTTTGAAATTTTTTATTTCTATTTTACCCTAGTTCAAAAGTCTAACTAATAGATATATTTAGGTGGTTTACAAGTTCACCTTTTGAACTCCCTGAACTATGAACATGAGTTGTTTGAAAGTCTAAGTTCAAGCCGCCCAAAGCACAAAAAGAAAGTAAAAAATAAAATAAAAATCTAATGCATATGAACTGTTTGAAAGTTGAGCTTTCCTACTATCCAACATTTGTTTTTTTTAATCATTCCAAAAGTTAAACTTTCAGACCACCCAAACGGAGGTTCGACAATTGGATTTTGGAAACATCTAAATACATTAGTTTTTGTGCCTTGGGCGTTTCAAATGTCAGACCACCAAATTGGAGAGTTAAATAGGAAACAAGTTCAAAAAATAAAAAGTCAACATATTATTGGTTGGGCCTCGATCTCATCGGATCGGATGATCGCACAGGGACTTGGATTTAGGTCTGGCTTGAGATTGCTCTCTTAGGAACTACGGTGCGTGAGGTGCACGTGCAGATAGGTGCCAACTAATGAGAGAGGACCATGGGGTGTGAAGTTACGGAGGGTTCGTGACACACTCGGGCGTTCGTGGACGCTCTCTTAGATCACGACGGAAAGCCCCCTAGCCTGAGGCTGGTTCTGCTTTAACCTCCTTGCTCGCACTCTACGGCTTATGAATACTCACACATAAGGTTGCCAGACAAGAGGGTCAAAAGATCTTGACTTGCCATTATATATATATATATGAAAAGATGGTATGGTACAAGATTGTTTGTCGGTTTGACAGCCTTTCAACGCCACTTGTCAAACGGTCTCATATAGGCAAACAAATAAATAAATAAATATAACAAAATAGTATGGGTGTGATGATGATAGAAGAGATAGTGTGGGGGTTGAAGAAGAAGAAGAAAGAAGGAGGAGTTTCATAAGAGATGGGAGAGAGAGAAGAAAGAAGGTGTAGAAGGTGGGGAGTTGTGGGCCGGCAGCTTAGCCACCGGCTCGTTAGAGAGAGAGAAAGTGAGAAGAAAGATAGAAAAAACGAGGGAAAGAAAATGAGGAGAGAGCAAGAGAGAGAGCGAATGAGACCAAGAGAGAGACCGAGAGGAAGAGAAAGAGAGAGTGAAAACGAGAGGGAGAAAGTGAGAGAGACCGAGAAGAGGATATAGAGAGAGAGTGAAAGCAAGAAAGACTGAAAAAAGAGAGAGAGACCGAGAAGATGAAAGAAAAAATGAAAATGAGAGAGGAAAAGAGAGGAATTGAGGAGAGGAGAGAGAAAGAGAGGGAGAGAAATCGAGAGGAAATGAGAGAGAGGCCGAGAGGAAGAAAGAGAGAGAGGAAAACGAGAGAGCAAGAGGAAGAGATCGAGAGAGAGAGGGAGCAATAGAGAGAAAGAGACAAGGAGAGATAGATCGATAGGAGGGGAGAGAAAACCGAGATGAAGAGATAGAATGAGAGAGAGGGAGCAAGAGAGAGAAAGAGACCAGGAGAGATAGATCGAGAGGAGGGGGAGAGAGAGACCGAGAGGAGGGGAGAGAGAACAGAGAGGAAGAGAGAGAGCAAGAGAGAGAGACCGAGAGAAGGGGAGAGAGAGAGAAACTTGAGAGGAAGAGAGAGAGATCGATAGAGAGAGACCGAGAAGAGGAGAGAGGGATAGAGAGAGAGAAGAGAGAATGAGAGTGAGGGAGCAAGAGAGAGAGTGAGAAGAAAGAGAGGGAAAAGGAGGGGAGGAGTGAGCCGATGGCTTAGCCGTCGGCTCATTATAGAGAGAGGGAGTGAGAAGAAAGAGAGGGAAAAGGAGGGGAGCCGCTAGCTTATACAAGAGAGAAAAAGAAGAAAGAGAAGCCAAGGGAGAGGAGAAAAGAGTGAGGGAAAAAGAGAGCTAGGCCTCCAGCTCGATTATGCTTAAGGAGATTGAGTGGAATCGAGAAGGAAAGAAGAGAGAGAGAAGGAAAAGAAAAAATGAGAAAGAAAGAGAGAGAGGGAGAGAGAAAGAAGAGAGAAGAGAGAGAAAAAAGAGGTTGTTAGCCCG